CTTTTTTTTATGCACAAAAATCAATCATACCAATGCTGCATAACAATAAATACAACAATAAATAGATTAAGCAATAGTGATCGCAAAGGACAGAAAATTTAGTACATGTATGTATTTTTTTTTCCTTTAAAAAATGAGTGTAAAAGGTGGATCAATTAATCTAAAAAGTTCCCAAACCGAATTTTCACAAGTTAATAGAAAAAATTGTACTAAATCCTCTTCTGGCTGATTCTGCAAGGTCCTCTTATTGTTTTTGAGTTTCATTTGTCTCGTAAATCCATTATATAACTAAATTTGATAAACAAATTGGTCCTGAAGCCTCCTTAATCCTATAGTTAATATATTTTTTTTAATATATGACAATATAAATGAAAAAAAGGTTTAATCCATAAATCTTGTCTCTAGTATGTCTTACTAAAATTTAAACAAAAAAAAGATCCACATACTGACAACTAACTTAAGAACATTGTAAAAGGTACAAAAACTTCTCGTCCCATGTAAAGTTCCCCATAAATAATTAAAGAAGCAAAAGAAAATTATATAAAACTATAGTAAGTCCACACGCTAGAACCTGTTAATAAATCAAATTCGTCTATTAATATAATACCTTATTCATACATGATGCCTGTCATAGTTATCCTTAACACCATTTGCAAAATTTCCTTTCCCTTTTTTACCATTACACACCACCTGCAACTCTTTTCTACGTGGGGTTGTTCAATAAAATTCTCCCACCTTTCCTAAAAATATCTAGGTTAGTCATTGGGCCACTAAAGTTAGATACTTAAGTTGGCATCTTCACCCGCTATACCTTAAGGTAAATGGAAAGAAATTATTATAAATTAAAGCAAGAATAAACACCCAAACATAAATGTGCAATTTCTGAAAATGTCACTTAAAACACCATTACCAATAATCTAAATGATATTTTATACAAATATGTTCAATTTAGGTCACTATATATTCACTAAAATGAAGTAATTTACAAAGGCAGTCGGATATGAGATGTAATAACATACAAAAAATTAAACATGTGGTGCTGAAGCTTATCTTGTGTTGGTATTGGTAGAGAAGCCATAACATTTGAAACGTGAAGATTTAGCTGATTCCACAGGATTACCCTGGTCGTCGCTTTCTCCGTAAGTCCAATCCTCAAAAATGCTTTATTTGACTGGGCACATGGACCATAACTTTAGTTATTACGATTATATAAAAGGAACAGCAAAAGAGGACAGATTTGTTTCACTATAAAAGGTTTTTGGTAGTATTTGGAAAAGGAATAGTTTTTTTTTTTTTTTGATGAAGACGTAAAAGTGGTGGAAAAAAAATATATTCACTCTGATTAGCTACAAAGTACTAACTCCAAGGAGATAGAAGCGAGTATGAATGGAGAAGGGTTCAGTTATGTATTATTTATATACTACTAGGTGCTTCATCATTCATGATCACTTCCAACCGAGGCTGTAAAAATAAGAGAGAGCAACCAACGCTATCCTATAATCCTAGCCTATAGAAGGTACCTGGCGAGGTGCCAGAACGCCAACAAATATGATTGAATCATGTTTTTAGCCGCCATAGCTTGTACTTGGCGATAAATTGGAACGCAAAGAACACCCGAATAGAAATAAGAACCAGACGAGATGAGACTGATAGAAGATTGAAAAATAGTTGTTATCGTCCTTTTTGCCCGAGCCGCCGCCGCTATAAAGAAAATGTTGTGGTGATTCTAAATTGTATCCTCGTGCAGTTTGATATTGTATCTTAAACATTTTTTTAAGTGGGCCGTAACTTAGTAACTTTAATTTTATAAAACGAGCAATGAGAGAAAGGGGAGTATTATATTTTTTTTATCTTAAAAAATGAAAAATTTTAAAACCACTATAAATCACAAGCTAAAGAAAAAAGTGGCAACATAGAAAGGGAAATCAAAGCAAACCAGCCCATATAGTGACGAAAAAGAAAAAAAGAAAGTCAAGAAGAGAAGAAGAGAAATTGATAGAAGAGAGCACTAACACTGAAAGAGGGAAGAGATTGGTATATTCCCGATTTTTTGATCATTAAATTTCCCCAATATCAGCTTTAATTTATTTTAATTAGTTCATCTTACCATTCACACTTTTCACAAAAATTTTTGTATTTCGGGGTTTTGGTAATAGCAGATTATAGGGAGGGACATACAATATCTAACATTTCCTACCATGAAATATTAAAAATTACTAAAGGAGAAGGAGCGCATACCAAGCTTAAAGTCTAAATCCGGGAGTTGGTCAATATATAGGATAAGGATGGCAAGGTCATTAATGATATATAACGTCAGTTGCTTTCAATTTTACCTTATCCCTCAATTATGTCTGTGCTAATCGGATTCCAAACACATTGGCCAAATTTTGAGAAAAGTCTGCATTAAAGGAATGGATTGTTAATTCGGTTTATGTATTTGTTTTATTGTAATGTTAACGGATAACACATTGAAAGGGTCCAACTATAACTTATGGATATTAACCCTGCCCTTCATACGGAGATGACCCATCGATTATTGACCCTCTATATTTCCATCAATACGACTTCTCTTCAAGCCCAGTTAATTTATTACCCTTATCTGTTAAATGTAATTTGTTAAGATTACCGAGAATAAGTGGAAAACATTACTCAAATATTGTAATGCAGAAAATAATCCCTTTCTCAGCCGTTAAAGTTAAATTTTTTATATATATATGAATATTAAACAGATAAAGTTTCCATAGTTTTCCTTTCATTTCCAACTAAGACCTCTGCTTGTCTTCTAAGGCTTTATAAGATTTTATTCACAAAACATTGAATCATCCATTTCCTATCTTTCAATTTCTCTAAATTTCTGTCTTACACATGCAGATACAAAACATTTCTTGTTTTCTTTTTCTTTCTTTTTTCGGCTTTTGCTTTCTGTTTTGTAAAAATCCCAGCAACGTTGTATACTTTTCAAGTCAAATTCATTCTTAAAATTTCTGGTTTAATGTCCTAAACTTTCCAAGTAATAAACTTCTAAATATATCATTAAGGAAAGGCGAAACCAGGATTTTAAACATCATTTTTCTTTAAAAAAAATAGAAATAAAGCTGAAACTGCAAAAATTTTCAGCATCATATCAAAAAGTATAAAGCAATGATCTAGACAGAAGTATATTTCTTTAATGTGAGGCAGCCATAATTAAAGAACTTGGCGGCAGGTCCAAAATTCTGGTAATAAATTGATAAACAAGCTCACTATTATTAGATTATTATCTTGACCAAAAACCAAGAATTAATGTAGTCATGTCAGATTAATAAAGAAAAAATATATAATAACAGAGACCTTTCTTTTTCTTTATGTGCTGTCATAGTTATCTTTCTTTGCAAATTCCCTTTCCTTACCTAACCCTCCACTCTGTACATGCCAAGAACTTAGTTTCTTCTTCTATATGGAAGAATTTTAAATAAACAAAAACAAAATTTCATGAATCATATAAAATACTATCAAGAATTACAAGTCATTGTCCAATCCAAATGAGTATTACAAGGCACATATGTATATCTATTGTCTTGGTCAATTCTTGAAAAAATATGAAGATTTGTGTTCAAACTTCGTTCTTCGTTCTCCCTCTTTGTTCGATTAGGACAGCAAGCAGATTTTAAGGGGAAAAAGTGACGAGTGGAAAACTCTCAAGTTACTCAAATGGGTATTTTATTATTTATATATATATGTGTATATATGTATCTACAGCTGTATTGAAAAAAAATCTAATCTTGCTATGAGGCTGTGTCAAGCAACATATGTACAGTGTCTACTTTGTTAAGAAGACAAGAAAGACCACGTAGCCTATGATAGTTGTTAATCTTTGCACCTAGAAATGTGTATCTTTGTCTGTTTTGATATGTTCTTTTTAAGGCCGACTATATAGTGAAGTGTATTTTTATCAAATTATTACTTAGAAAGCAAAAAAGAAGTCATGAGAACCATGCAAGAAAAAGAAGAGAGAGAGAGAGAGAGAGAGAGAGAGAAGGAAGAGGGATATGCTTGTCAATTCCAAGCTTTTCACTCTCCCTTCAATTTGTTTCTTGGAGCATATGGAACTCATTCATCATGTTAAAAGGAGAGGGCATCCACAAGCAAACTGTGCAAAAAAGGTCAAGGCAAGAAAGTGTTCTTCCTTTTTGTTTGGATTCAATGCCAATTGAAGCTGCAAGGAGTACTAGATTTTTGTAGGAATGGGCACGATTTTGCCTTGTGGGAGCAGATTTTGCTATTTCCATCTTGCCCCATTAAATTTGAGATTGAGATAAGTGGAAAAATAAAAATGTATGAGTATAAGCCTTAAAAGTTAAATTTTGATAGAACTCATCAGACGTGATTTGATTGGTCTTTCCATTTTTTACTAGGCTATTCATGTGATGTAACTCACGATATACTTTCAACCTGTTAGACCTTAATAAATCAAAATATAAAATTCCATTTGTATAAAATAATAATTAATAATTGAGTAAAGAAAAAGAATAGTGAATCGTAAGTTAGCATTTCTCATACATGCATCAATTTTTTACGTAAACAAGAATTTGATTAATGTTGGACAAAGTCGAGATACGTAGGTAAACAAGATGATCTGTCAGAATTCATACTTACTCCACCATTATGTTTGGAAGTTAGGAAATTTCTTAACAAGTTTAACATGGATAAATAAATAAATTTCGGTACAAACGTTGTTTCTTGATTTTCGTTTTCGATGATAGCTAATAGACTTCAATGGAACTGGCAGATGCATGAAATTGGATTGGATCAGTCCATTTTACTATTTTCGTTTTACCATTATGTTTAGAAGTTTGCCTTCTTTCTTCTTTCTCTTTTGCCTCTTCCAATTTTGATTTACTATTGAAATAGACGGATGAACCCGAAAGCTTCTATATACAGCTGCTATGCGATCTGCCAGAACTAGCAACTAGCCGTTGGGTAAGAATGGAGTAAAAGAAAACATGAAAAGAAGCCATACAGATCACAAAAATCAGCATAAACTCTATTCATGTGCGGGAAATGTGATATTTTAACAAATTATGACCTCCAAAACATCTCAGAACCAACAAAATGAAAAACAAGAATGTGGCCTGTTAGCGGTTGCCCTGAACAAATTTTTTATTTGCGAACAGATGCTTTCCCATCATATGAAAAGGAAGGGTACAAGAGGAAAACCAAGTAATAACTCTAAAGAGTACTTTTCATTCCTAGGGAATTTATCAAAGTTGATCCAAAGGTATCTTCAAGAGGTGACACCTTTTAGATGGTGTCAAAGTTTATAGGCTCGCGCAGCAACCTCTCCATCTCCTTCGCTCTAGTCCTAATGGACAAGTCAAAGACCTTCATATCAAACTCTACCAAAAGCCCCCCCAAAATACTTGGATCAATCTGCAATTAGATTAGAGGTGATTAGATTCACTTCCATTGTAAAATAACATGAGCATCAAAAAACTAGTAAGGTTGAGAATGCATACCTTCTTTTCCAGCTTAACTTTCTTCCCTTGTCCAATTATCTCTTGCAGTGTTTCCTTCAATTCTTCCTCCTCTTCTCCACCCAAGGGCTGGTGCAAAATCGTATGCAACAGTTAATGCTCAAAATATAGAGGTATACCATTAAAAGTTAGCTATTATACAAAGCAAGGATCACCTATGGAGCATGAGGTCAAGCGACAAGAAAACAACAACTTCATAAAATACAAGTCTGTAGAGAGCAAACCAACAATACCACAATTTCTTAATCGGAAGTGGGAAAATATCATAGCGAGCAATCTCATTTGAAAATTTACTTAAGTTGGTAACATATTTGACGAGAAAGAAACCATGCAAGAAAGAGAGCTAATTTACCACCACTTGGAAAATATTAAACTAGCACTCTAGCACTACACTATCATAGACCAGTACAGTAGCTAACATTGGGAACTTCCTTTCATATTGTTATTTGTTTACTGTTTGAATGCACGTTTTGGAACTCCATACACAGCTTGTTAATTGCTTTCACTATAATGGTACAAAGACTTATCAAGTCAGAGCAGCCCTAGAGTTACATGTGAATTAAGAACAAATAGAAAAAAGATGGTGTAGAGAAGTCAAAGGAACAGCAATCATACAAAATAAAAAAGATAAACAAGCTAAATAAAATTGAAATCTTGTGAAAAAAATGGAAACCCAGAAAATATATAGCTAAGGTTCTTTTTCCTTTTTTTTTTCTTTTTCATTTTGGGAATGAAGAGGCTGTCTTCCTCCGACAAACTAGAAGCCAGCAGGGAATTTTGCTTCACTAGGAATTCTGAAATATGTATCTCAGTTCCCATGAGACATAGAAAAGGCTAAAATGAACAAAAACACAGATACAACTGTGTCAAACAGAAAGAATACAGTTTTGATGGTGGACCAAAGCGTCAAAAACTTACAATGACTGTTGTGACTATAGCTTTAACCTCTCCCCTGTCTGCCATGGTCAACTCCACAAATTTCTTGGCTATGCTGTCTATGTTCTTTAACCTTCCATTCTCAGCCAGCAAAACTAGTACAAACACAAAAGAATTTTCCAGAAAATGGTTAAAACTCAACTCAAAACATCTAAGCTATCACTAAGAGAAATAAGAATGGGAGAAGGAGAAGAAGTGATACTTGGTACCAATCCCAAACACATAGGAGATGCAACAGATAACCATGGCACCAGTTACACAAGAAAAATAAATAAATAAATTCCTGTGCAGCATAGCAAACTGCTTAAGCAAAGATCCAAATTGAAAGCAGCTGATAAAAGATTCACTGGAACAAGTAAGATGTGCAACGAACCAACTACACAACTAACATTTTCAGAGTATAATATGTGTTGTAATGTCAATACATCAATGGTATAGATAACGTATTGGGCGGCCCATAATGCTGGTAGATGGCCTTCATAATAAAAGAACTCGGGATTCAGGTCCATCAGAAAGCTCATTTCCATCAGGAAGCTCATAAATGGCCTTTAATATGTACTGGGGCATCTACCAGATGTTTTCAAGCTTGCCTCACGTGCCATTGCAATGATGTTGAGGCAGCAATTACAACAAGTCGAATGAAAATAATCATAATAACAGCAACAATTGAAACAAATAATAGTAATTAATAATATCACAATAAATAATAATACAAGTAATGGCTCATAAGCATTCAGCCTTAAAGCTCCAAAATAAGCTAGCATTCATCCTTCCATCAACAACCAAAAAAAGCATATTCAGTTTGATGCATAAAAGAACAGATAAAAAAAACTCCCTTACCCAAAAAGTTCTTTGTGATATCTGAAAATTTAGCTTGATCAGAAATATCATTAATGGCCTTGACTCTTGTGTCGGCAGGCACTGACAAGTCCTTTGTGAACTGAGTAAACGTAGGACTTCTCTTTATAGCCTCCACAACATCAAGAACTTCAGCCTCAACCTTGTCCAGTACATTAGACTTTTTGGCTGCAAGGTACAATGCAGAGGCATAGTTTCCAGCTCCTCCAAACAAAGCAAGCGGCACCTGAATATCATGTAGACTCATCAAGGCAGGCAGGATAAACACAAACAAATATAATCAATCCCCAACATTCAGGCTCACACAAACACGCAAAATCATATGTTTAATACACACCGAAAAGGACAAGTTACTTACCTTCACCTTCTTCTCTTGCCCTGAAGAAGTGGCATAATTTTTTGAAGTCTGTCAACAACAAAAAGGCCAAACCTTCAGATATCAAATCAAAATGCAAGAAATCCGAAACAACTTGCTATGAAAATTTTACTAATTTTGAGAGGGGAAAATCTAATCATTTGATAATGAAACAGAATCATACAACACTCAGTACTATAAGACCTGAGAAAATAGACACGTTCATCGCTCAAAATGGCAAAAAAACAATTTTTCTTGTTCATTCCGTTAAAACATATTTAGAAATTGTTATTTTCTCCTCATTTCTCGTGCTCGGAATCAAATCAGATACATTAAAATTAGGGGTTTTTATTTAACAGCCACTAGAAATCAAACATTAATCAGATGCGTACGTATCAAACACATAAGAACATGAAAATGTTTTCTCTTTCCAATTAATTTTAGGTTTTGTAAAATTACCTCAGATGTAAAAGCAGGGCATAAAACGGAGCGTTGAACGGCCGATCGAGAAGCAGATAGAGAATCGGATGTCAAAATCTTGTTAACAAGAGGAAGACCCGATCTAAGACGCCCAGCCATTGCCATATCTTCTTGAAATCAGCTTTGGCTTTTTCGGGTATACTTGATTTCTCTGTTTTCCGAGCTCTGATAGTCTGCGAGATGGACAGTTTGAGGGTTATTGAGATCCTGTGGAGATATAGACTCACTCCTAAGTGCATACTTTTTGTGTGATGTTCATTTCAGATTATGACACTTGTAATTAAGTTGAAAACTTAAACCAACTAACGGCGTCGTATCAGGATGGTATAATGATTTGGGCCTTTTGATAAGATTTTACTGAAACGACACGACAACTAAAACGTTGGGCTTGCATTGATTTGATATTCTGATTAAAAGCCCACTAATTAAATCAAAAACCCAAACCCAAAACATCAAATGAAAAAATAAGTTATTTCACATAATCCATGATTATTAAAAATAATCTGGCATATTACATAAGAATTAATTTTCTAATTTTGATAAATTTTAATGTAATTATTACTATGTAAAAACTTTAAAATAATATTTTGTGTATGATAAACCAAATAAGTTTATTAAAATGCAATTTCTTAATTATAATTTCTTATGTCAATAATATACAATGAAGATAAATCCGAAAGCATACTCTTGCTGTGAGCATGAAAAAAAGAAAAATTTTTAAGCCGGTTAATTTTCATGAAAGTATGGGAGAAAAAATAACTTGAAAATATACATTTAGCTTGAGGTTTATAAATATAACAACAGAGAATCAATGACCAACAATGCAAGGTGACTATTATTCATAGACCCTTGAAGAAATGAAATAGACACCGTTTCATCTGCTCAATTAGTAAATGGACATTAAAGGGAAAAATGATAACTATAAAAATCTTTAATTTCCCTAAAGCTGGTTCCTATACCTGAAACTCCTCCCAATAAAGTCTCCTCGGCCTTTCACAAATAGAGTACGACCACAATCCTCTATGGTGTTAGAAAAAATTCTCGTCCTTTTTAATTTAGTTTCTCCTGTCATGCATTGTATTCCTTCGAGATCCTTCATCTACCAGTGAAATCAAATTTGCAAGTATCCACTAATCAGATTTAGGCGTCGAGGGTTTAAGGTTAAAGTTATATTATCACCCAGCTCGCAGACCTAAAAAAAAGAAACAATCAAATATAATTACCACTTAATCCAAGCAGATAGCCGAGGCATCTACGTACCAATAAATGCCTAAACAACCCAAATAATCAGAAACCATGTAAAAAGTGGCTCTTTTTCTCCCGGAAACAAATCCCCTTTCCCAAAATTTGAAAACTTATTAGTGAGATGTTTATGCTTAATAAAAACTTTAAGTCTCGCCACTCAAGAATGGTAAAGCAGGGCATAAAAACGGAGCAGTTGAACGGACCGATCGCGAAGCAGCAATAGCAGAAATACCGGTGAGGCATGTATTGCGCGAATAACGAATTCGGTATTCTTATGGTGAAATGCTGCATAAACAAGAAGTGACAAAAGTGCTAAGGAAAGACCCAGATGTCCTATGAATAATAGTAATCGATATAACCCCTCAAGCCCATATGTGAAATGCCACAGATTAAATGCATTTTCATTTATCGTAGAACCTTATTCCAAGCTTTCATGGTAGCTGTGTGTTCGGTGACTTATAGCACTTGATATCTGCCTGGGTGGGATTGTCACGCGAGTCTTCTGTAATAGTCTCCTGCGGGGAGATGTGGACTAGTCCATTGTTAAAGCGAGGGGGAGGGAGAAAGATAAGGAATGGGAATGGTAAAAGGATAACGGGACCTAGGTTTGGGGAATGAGTATAGGGAGACTCAAACTCCTAAGTGCATACTTTTTGTGTGATGTTCATTTCAGATTAATGACAACTTGTAATTAGTTGGAAACTTAAACCAACTAACGAGGCGTCGTATCAGATGGTATAATGATTTGGGCCTTTTGATAAGATTTTTACTGAAAAGACACGACAACCTAAAACGCTTGGGCTTGCATTGATTTGAATATTCTGATTAAAGCCACTAATTAAATCAAAACCCAAACCCAAACACAAATGAAAAAATAAGTTTATTTCACATAACCATGATTATTAAAAAATTAATCTGGCATATTACATAAGAATTAATTTTTCTAATTTTTGAATAAATTTTAATGTAATTAATTACTATGTAAAAACTTTTAAAAATAATATTTTGTGTATGATAAACGCAAATAAGCTTTATTAAATGCAAATTTCTTAAATTTAATTTCTTATGTCAATATATATATATATATATATATATATATATATATATTATAATAATTATATATATATTATTTTCCAATATGGTAATCAACTATGTGCTGTTTACTGCTGTTTACGATTCCAAAAAGCATTTGGGTGATCTGCACAAAGTTTTTTCTCCATATAATCTTTTAGGTTTTTTATTTTATTTTGTATAAAGTCGGTTTCTAATTGTTCTTTAATTCTTTTTAAACACATATTATTTTTTAAATCTTTTAAGTCTGCTTCCTTGGAAACAGCACATAGCATTTACTGTTTGCTTTTCACTGTTGATAAACAGTACTTTGTCTGCCACTGAATTTTTACTGTTTGCCTTTTACTGTTGATGAACAGTACTTTGTCTGCCACCGAATCTTTACTGTTTACATAGTAACCTGGCCTTTACTGTTTGACAAATAATAAAATCAAGGAATAAGGTTCCTTGTGCCTTGTTTTATATGGACTTAGAACAAGACGAGAACGATGTTATTACATAATCTGTTTTCCATAAATTAAATTTAGAAACTTTAATTAAATTTAGAAACTTTATAAATTTGTTTTATGCATATATATATATATATATATCATTTAATATTAAATTTTAGAAGTAATTTTCATTAATCTATATAAAAGGCAAATTAATTCGATCAGAGAGTATTATGTATCCATTACTTGACATTTGGCATCATCTTAGCCGCAGATATATATTAGTACGTAATACAATTTACCACAATCAACATTGGATTCTGTTGGCGCCAATGGTAATGGTTAAATTATTAAAATAGCCTAAATAATGGTTATCAATCATTCTATCATTAATTTATTCATATCCTTTCCAATAATTCAAATCCTCAATATGCATTCATCAATTATTTAATTTTATGTACTTCATAATTTACATGATGGCAATATACAATATATGGATCGGGTTTTTAAATACCCATATTAATGTCCGAGATTAAATATGTATTTATTCTGCATGTATCGAGAATGGCAGGACGTGTTAAGTTTTGATTCAAAAAATGAAAAAAATGTAGAAAAATATAAATTTAATATAAATAGGGCAAAAGAATTAAGATTATCTATAAAAAATAAATTCTGAAATTCTATAGATATTTAATATCAAGAAAATGCATAGATAAATGAGATTAAGAAAGCAAAATTGGCCCATCCATTCATGATTTAAAAGACAAAAGGTACATCTTCAAGTATAAAGATTTTTGATGAACCAAAAAAACAAAAATGTCTAAAAACTTAACTCTCATGCCAAGGCATGAGGTACTATTAGGTAAATATATAAGGTAAATATATATATATATATATATATAATATATATTCCATGAAATTTTGGAAACCCATATTCAATCTTTGAATATATATTTCCATGAATTTTGGAAAACCATATTCATCTTGAATGAGTGGTCCTTCACAAGTTCAGAAGTTCTTAAGAAGACAAGAAAGAAAACCAACCACAAACTGACTCTTCTCTAAGTCTAACTCTTCTTTTCTAAGCTACCTATCAACATTGACTCATCCACCACACACACACACTGCCCTAGAATGTGAGAGGAAAGGAGAAGGAACATTCACTACTCATTGGTCAACATAGGTTTTAAAAATCTATATTTTTTTTCTTCATTCCATTTTTGTTCTTAAGAAAATTCATCCAAACCTTTTCTTGAAAAATAATTTGGGAATTTAATCTTTTCAACTTTTAAAAAATAATATACTAATCATAATGATGCATTTTAATTATCAAATAAATTAAAAATTAATATTTATTTAAAAGTTTGAAACATTATCAAGAATTATAATAAAAATAATAAAAAATAACTCCATTGGTGATAATTAAAATGACAAAATTAAATTCATAGATTACAATTTATTTTTTATTAAACAAATAAAATTCAATAAATTTATAAAATATTTAAATTCCATGAATTAAATTTTATAGATATAAAAATAATTTGTGGGATTAAGAGAAAAGTAGAAAAAGATTATCCCTTGATAATCCAATTCTAATTAGCTAAATATTGCGGAATCCGATGGAAGAGTGTGTAATAATGAAATTGACTCTTTATAATAATAGGGAATAACTAAATAATTTAATAGGGTCCATTAAATAAGTAATTTTACTAAATACTATGGATAGATTGGTAATTTCAACAGACTTAATTGTACTTATGTCTATCTATTTTGATACCGTCTGCTTGACAAATAAAACACAGATATCTGATGTAATTGCCTTAAGTTCGTTGAATTTCTAGAATTCTGTCTTATCTCCCTCCGCCTTCCACTTTCTTCCGTTCCCATATCGGATTTCTGTGTACCCTTATCTTGCCTGAGATTTCATCACCGACCCGTATATAAACCCAACCTCTACTTTTCTCCGCAAATAAAAATATCAAAACACCATCTTTAATATTCGGAACCTTTTACTTTTCTATAATCTTGCAAATCAGGAAGAACTTTCTTTCTCCATTGCAAATAAAGAACCAAGAAAGTCTGTTTTTTTTTTTTTTTTGTTTCAAGGAAGTTTCAACTTTGTGGGTTTGGTTTAAATAATGTTGCAGCTTTTCTTTACAGTGGCTTTCTCTGCAGTGCCTTTGACTCTGTATGTGCCGCCAGTAAGGAGCTTGAATCTGTTTGTGGAGACTATGGAAGATCTATTCAGAGAGTCGAGAGCATATACTAATAGAATCTATCCGCGTGCAAGGCACGTGTGGTCTAGGCTCTTGGATCTCTTGCTTTGCAATTTGAGGTTAGATTAGAGGATGTTTCCTTATTGTACATTCTTTTTTCTTTCTTTTATTTAAATTTCTTGGGTCATCAATGGATATCTGTGTCTAAGGAGCTTGTTTTTGTTGGCTATGTTTCTTGTTACTGCGGAAATATGTTCTATAGAAAAAATCTGTGAGCTCTTTGAGGATGTTGTTCTATTAATAAAGGTTGCTCTCTCATTACTCTCTCTTTTTCTGTTTTCTGGGTTCATGAATGTCTTTGAAATTAGGAACTTTGGTGGATCTGGTTTGGTTTTAGGTAATGATTTTTGAATGAAATTGGTGTAATTGTTTTAATTTTACTGTATTCTTCTTTCTTCCCTTACTGGCTACAAAATTATTGCCACTTGCAAGAACATGATATGACCCATTTCGCCAATATTGGCATGCTATTTCTGATTTTTTTGTGAAAACCCATGTCCAAAAGTTTTCAACTTTAGTTAATTTTCAACACATATGACAAATATTGTTTTTGCTCTCCACATTTTAGAGGGGAAAAGTGTGAACAATTTATCTCCTTTGATAGGGGAAAACTGAGTAGCTCATGTATGAAGAGAAAGTAGAAATTTATACATGGATTGTTCAATGTAAACCATCTCATAACACAATTATGTAAGAGGGGTATGTTAAACAAGCAAGAGTATGTTTATCTCTGGGCCTGTTTAATGATAGCACTAAGCTAAGTCTCTTCCTCCATATCTGGTAAGGACAAAGAGAGAGAGTTAAAGATAGAGATCTGGGTTTGTTTTTAATGTTGTGTGGTTTGTTCTTGTGTATGCATCTCCCAGCTTGCACGTTTATCCTTACAAATTCATTAAAAGACAAGGAAAAGGTTACTTTTTTTGTTTTTTTTCTTTTCCCGGCTTTTAATATCTTGATTTGGGTTGTGAAGTTTGGCATTTAGCTATTGTTGTTGCTTGCTATCCAAATCCTGAACTCATAAATATTGAGGAAAATAAAAGGATAAAGACAGAAAAAAAGTCTTACAACCTAAGTTTTTATAGAACAGAGGGTTTAGGAGAGATTTTCGATTATGATGTAACATTGGAACTGTTTTAGAGGAGGATTGATGAATGATGACAATATGGTATCTAATTTTGTCAGGTCCAAATAAGGAACTGTCGTTTTATAAAGCAAACAACTGCTTAACCAAAAAGGAAATATATATTATGGACAACAGGAATGTTTAATAGATCATCAATAAATTTGGACAGGAAAAGCAATAGATTAAAATAATTTATATATCAAGGCAATTAGAAGAAATTCCATGGCCTATTTTCTTTTTATTGGCATTTAACTGTGAAGATTGGAGATCAAAGTACAACCTTTTTTCTTTGGCTGCAATGAAATGATTCAGTAAAACTATTGATTAATTACAGTTTCTCTTATTGAGATCTAATGAATCAAGGACTAAGAATGTGAAAGTATGGATCTATGAATAAGAAAACTAAATGAAATCTAATTAATGAATTTCAATTGATGAATAATGAAAATGAAAAGAATGAATGAATTGGAGAAATTCTTTATAGGGCTCAATCAATCATTTTAGCTGGACAGTGTGCAGGGCTTCAAGAACCAAAATACATCCAAAGGTCTGGTTTCCCTGCCATCCACAATGGAAAAGCTTCTGCCTTTGTTCTCAGTTTCCTCCTCTGTCACTTCCTTGTTCTGCTTCACTTCTTGAAGAATGCCTCTCTCCTATGCACAGTTCATAATCATGTTAAAGCAACATCAAGCGAACTTTCTAAGTAACATAAATGTAAACATATAAGCAATGACAATCATCTCTCTTCTCCTAAAACAAAAAGATCAATATAGGGCAGAGCCGCAAAAAAAGAAAGAAAGAAAAATATAGTTGTATGATTACCATAAGCCTGGATTTGGAAGCTTTTGAAGGGGTCGTTTTGGTGGGTGGACGAGTTGCGGAAAAACATTGAGGAGAAGGAGGATTCGTCCGAATTTGCAACAATCGCTCTTCTCCTTTGTGCTTCACATTTTCCAAATTTAGAGGGACTGGAATATTCTCCGCATCATCAATTATTCTGCACAACGATTTAACAAATAAAATTTAGCTACTCATCCAAATAGTTTAGTTTATACTTATAAATGCATAAAATATGCACTTCTTTTGGATTGCTAAAGCTTAACGCATACACACTTAATATTCATATACAAGTTGTTCAGGGTGAAAGCAGACAGATATCGTGAAAATTTTTTAAGCTTTTGAAAAAAATCTGCGAAACTTGCTTATTTTAGTCTAACCCACAAAAAATGAAGGGGCCATAGGAATATGACATATTCTTGCATAATACGTTTGTTGGTCTATATCCATGTGCAGATGAACATTTAATAAAAAGCAAACAGGGATGTTCAACTTACTTCTTCTTCCTCAGTTTCTCTTTGACACTTCCTTTCTCGATTCCTTCAGATTTCTCTCGGCCCACTTCAAGCAATGGCTTCCTCTCTTTCCCCTCCTTCACATTCCCCGAAACCTTTCTAGGACAGTCAGTCACTACTGCCACATCTTTCTTCTCTCCCACTTGACTGTCCCTCTCATCATTCTCCCCCTCCCTTGCTCTCATTGCCATTTTCTTCAATTCATTGCAGAACTCGCTAATATGACCCAGTATATCCTTCCCTGCAAACAAATTCCTTGCAGATAATGTGCTTTTTAGCCTGGGTGCCTCATTTGTTTGTGAGATATCATCAACTGGTTTCTTCTTTTCAGTGCTGGATTTGATAATTCCTTTCAAGAACTTAGCTTGGTAATTTGGCGGTGTTGATAAATTTGGGTTCCGGTTTTCACTGTCTTCACCAAATGTAAATGAAGACTGACTTTGCCCTCTCCTCTTCGATTTTGCATCTCTGCATCCAAAGTAAAGATTCAAGAAGTGAAATTTAGATCTTTCTTATAAATCTTGAACACTTTATAGTTAGTTAATCAATTAAACTATATTGGAATTGTCAAAATCATAACTGGGTTTTTTTGGTTCCTACCTTAGGTTCCAGTTGCCGAGAGGGGTTTTAGATTTTTCAGCTGAGCATGGAAGCTAAAGAAAAAGATCAATTCAACAAAAGAAATGAGACAAGTACTCAATTAAATTTAATTAATCGATTGTTTGTTAAGTGAGAAAATTTTGGAAAAAAGGGAAGAAAAAGAATTTTCAAGATCCACAACGACCAAACAATTGTAAAATAAAAAGAAAAGATCATGAAGTTGAAATTAGAAACCTTCGAAGTTGGAGTTGTTCTAAGGAAATCCTCAACAGATTTTGGATGGTTACATTCTGTAACATCAAAAATGGCAAAATCAAGAGACATATATAATTTATGTAAAGAACTCCTAAAGTTTATATATTTAAATAGAAAGAAAGTAAAAGAAAGAAACAAACCAGGTCTGCAAAACCAGGCCTCATCATCAACGGAGTTATCTTCAGGGTTCAAGAAATCAACCCATTTGGGTGCGTTTAAATTCTCATACAAATTGTCTTCTACAAATATGGATTCTACCTTCTTCCAGTCTATTTTTGCTGGCTCCATTGCAAAGCAAAGAACTTTACAATAAAGAACAGAAGACCCAGAAATCTAAATTGGTGTGATGGACTGATTGGTTTAGAGAGAGAAACAGAACCCTGAAACAGAGGGCGAGATTGTTACTTGCTAGAGACTGTGATATGGGTATGTAAGTCAGAATGTAACCGTTAATCAGAAAGACTGAGCGACAGTGAACGTTGTGGAGCTATTTAGTTTTGTGACCGTTGGGGGGATTTTAGTATTTAATAATTCAGTTCTAGTTCTGTAGCATTAGTTGAGCTTTGGCGTGGTCAAGGTTGAAGCTTTCTTGGATCTAGGCTAGGCTATCAGAGAGAATCCAATGCACTCCGATATAGCTAAGTATACTATACCAGCAAAGCTCTGTAACACGTGGCTTAATTACAACCCATTGGATACGACTTTTTGCTTAATGGACTTAATCCTTTCCGTTCAAACTAACCTTGACAGTTCCAAAATAAAAGCTTTACGTAGGTAGAATTAGTGTTCAGAAGGAATTTAGTGCATGTACATTCTTTATAAATGAGTTATATTTGTGATTGGAAAAGATATGAACTTTTTCCCTTCATCCCTTTGAAATGTTCTTTTTTTTTAATTTTCCAAATAGAAATTAGGGGAACAATATGGATCAGATAGATACAGGAAGCAAATATCACAGCTACACATAATCCAGATCATCACAACATAATTGTACCTGAAATTCATATTTTCTTGCTATAAAAAAGTTCAGGTTAAAATATTTTTCTCTACTAAAACAAAAGTTACAAAACTTCTATGGAGAATGAGGAAATCACCTTGGTCCTTGACCTTGACTAACTCTACGTGTACATAAAAGAAAAAAGGAACTAAACAACCAGAACTAGAAGAAGAAAAAAAGGATCAAAGAGTAGGGACTGTCTTCTGTTTTTTGATCTTTTAATGCCTTGATTCCTCACCAAATACCTCGTTGTTGCAAACCGGGCATATCTGATAAAATAAATTTAAGAATAACATGAGATTCAGGCATAAGAAGCTGCATATGCTGAATTCTGGAGATGGAATTGACTGACCTTGTTGATTCCAAGCCATTTCGTGATGCATTCGGAATGGTAGACATGCTTACACGGAAGTTTCATTTGCTTATCGCCTCTTTTGTACCTCATCTGGCAAATTACGCATCTGTTTTGCAAACAGTAACAAGATAATGGTGAACAGCTAGAAGGACATGAAAGACAGAGTTCTCAATCTAATAATTGATTCAATAGAAATGACCTCCAACCAACATGACCTAGATATAAAGGGACCAGTTTAGGGGAATCGGAATCGTCCATCAGACAAAACTACAAAACTAGCAAGTCACATACAATTCTTAGAAAAAGAGAAACAACTTTGTGTGGCCACTTATTATTATGAGAACTAACAATGAAGTTTGTTTGTCCCAAACAACAATCCATGATAGATTGTAATAAAAATGAACCCAACCAGGCAACCAACTATTTTGGGATTATCCTCTTTGGAATGTTTCTCCAGCAAGCAATTAGAAAAATCACCATTTCTGACATGGGCAACATAAATATCAGTCCCGAGTAGATCAAGCAATAACATTTTTCTTGAACAGTTTCCATTTTAACTCTATGGGTAGCGTACAGCAATAAAATAGCTTCCCCTCTGTAAGTCATTACAACCTGTCATACATTATTAGAATAGTTTTGCTCTTTCTAGTTAGGTATGGTAATTGCCTCCATTATTTTGCATTACCAAAATTCTAATCAGAAACATGAGAGACGCAAATAGGATCTGAGTATCCCTAGAGATGGGGAAAGGCCAAAAGAGACATATCACCACATGCATACAAGTAAAAGCAAATGTCTTCACTCTATCATTCAGCCTTCTCAATAAAACATTTATGCCAAAGTTTTACCTCTCCCCAGCTTTTTTTCTCGAGAAGAAGCCTCCAAACTTGCATTTTGAGGTGGGAAGCAAACTAATAAGCTCCTCTGACAGACCTCTACTTTGTGTTCCAACCGTCTCACCTAAGTCCAGCAATTCCTGTTGGACCAACAACAAAAAGCTGATACATAACCTTCTTAAAAGCTTTAGCAATTATATCTAAATTCCAGGTAGCAAATAGAAAGATAAATACTTCTGACAGTAATAAGAACAAAACCCAATTTGGAAGAGAAACAATAAATTCTATGATGAAACTTTTACACTGGCCCCTTAAGCATTATTCGCACATTTAACATGTTTAGCACTCTAAGAGCCTAGTGAATAGTGATATTCATTGATCTATTTCTTCACAACGAAAAAAGAACTATCAAACAGAATATTTGTGATCATGAAGAAATGATGCTATCAACTTCAATGCAAGAAAAATAGGTAAAAATCTACTGCGTTGCAAATGCAAGTCTAGATCAGTAAATTATAGTTCAGAAGAGTATGTTTGAGGGCCACTGGTAAAAGACTCATAATTCTTCAGTAAGTTGTAACAACCACTGGCAACGGCAATGCTGCTAGACTGAATTTTACATTCACCATGCCAAATTCTGGGAACCATTAATGCATTACATTCAATCTCAGATGCAACATCAAGATAACAATATTGAGATCTACTATGAAACTGAAAATACAACTCTGAACAAGGAAGAGAGAAAGACAAGTTATACAAAGCAAACCTCATAAGTCATGTTATCTGGATCAACATCATCTTGCCAAACACCCTGCAAAAAATTACATGGAACACCTGAATGTTTAGTTAGATTTTTATATCACAGCAGATCAAAGACCTTGTCTCTAATGTTGACAGCCACAAAGTACTAGCATATGAGACTTAAAGTCACAAATGACTAATTATTTAAAATTTTTCATATATATATATATATATATATATATCACATTCAGAAGAAAAGTCAGTTGATGCGCAAGAACATATCAGCAAGAGAGATTCATACCTGAGGACTATCGCTGCTTGTAGGATTTGGGATGCCTGCAAAAGGAGATAAGAATTTCAAAAGATCAGAAGCGTTTGGGTGAAAAAGAAGACTAATTTCTGTAAACTCCCAATTAAAGCATGCTTAAAAAAATTAACCAGGAGGGAACAGCTTTGTCCAAATGTCAACCAATGAACACATATCAGGCCTTGTATTGAATGCATTCTAAAAATAAGCCTATTTGATTTCACAATTCACATTGTATTAGGCACTATTGCACACCTACCAATTGGCAATTGCAAAGAAACTAAAAGGGGGAGATCCTTGATGAATAAATAAAATTAGGCCTCAAAGGTGTACAAGCTGGATAATCAACCAAAGATGTAAAAGATGGGGAAAGGAATTTTCACTGACATTCTTCTGGTGGAGTATGCACACCAACAGCTGCATCTCCTTCAGACTGTGTATCTGCAGTTGTGGGTTCTTCCATGTTCACTGAAGGGTATTCCCAAGCTACCCTACCAACATCCATTCTTGGTAAATTATCATTTACCTCATAATGACCATAATAAGAGGTACTCCCTGGACCAGAAAATCCATATTTGTATGCATTCATGTTCATCGACCAATATGCATTCTCCTGAGCAGAGAGGAAAAACTGGTCACGGAAGCATGGAAAATTTCATTTCATCCATAAACCAGTTATAGAAGTGAGAACACGCAGCCCAAAACATTTTATGACACCTAAGCATATGAAGGAACTTTGCAAATATTCAATCATAGATAGTTGCATACATAAATAAAAGACTGAAAGAAGGCCACCCAAGGATATAGGCCAAGCATTGCTGAGCTTCCAAATTACTTATAAAGCAATGTTATGTCACTAATATTGTTAAATAAGCACCTTTAAAGCATAAGCTTTGTGTAGTAGTGGTTGAGGAACCATCCATATATGAAGTGGAAACATCTTTGAGTTCACTTCAATAATAATAAACAATTTATAATAACAAAAAAAGAAAAAAGATCAGCAGTCTTCCAATTGAAAGAGTACCCTTGTTTCATCAATTTTTATGGGTTTCACATCAAATTATGAATTTTTCCTTTCATTTTTCTAATTTTACTTGTTCATTCCCTTGACAGCAGTTAACAAGCAACAGAATTTACTCTCCTACATAAAACAAAGTATACACGTGCATCAATTGAATGATTAACATCCCTATTAATCTGCAATATGGATCTAACTGCTTTATATCAAACCATTGCCAAAAGCATGAACAACCTAATTGGACATATTTTACAATCTGTCACGTTATTTCTGTTGCTATTTGAACCCAAATCAAAATAGAGAAACTTTAAGCACCTGATCATGCACTGGTCCAGTGTGAGCATAATGTACAGGCACATGTGTTAATCCCTCAAAGAAGTCCATGAAGCTTTCGGTGACAGTATAAGGAAAACCAGTGTTTATATAATGCACTTCCATTTGTCTATTCCCATTCATTGTAGAACTATTCAGCCACCTTTACTCTAGTTCAGACAAAATAAAAGCTGCAAAATCCAAGAAAATTAACATCATCCAGTGTCCACGTTACATTTATATAGTTGGGGTTAGTGTGATGAAATTCTCTCTCTTGCCCTCCATTTATCATGATGAAGGGTAAAAAAAAAGAATTCGCCTTTAATGAAAAAGAAATATATCTTGCTCACATTTCGTGCTATACAAATTTACAACTTTTGAGTTCCTGCAACGTATCAGTGCAAGCCAAATACGATTTTCCTGCAAAACAACAAAGAATTAGGATTCCAATTTTAGAAAAGAAAAGAATAACTCAATTGTAAAAATTTTGATTGATTAATAACATACTCAAATTCTCAAATTTAACCAGAAAAGGGGTAAAATTTACAAAGATTGACACAGCATTCAAAGCTAGTTGACATAGTGGGTTAAAATTTCCACATAAAAAATTATCAATTCTTACTCATTCATTTGGCTACAAGGAAAATGCAGGAAAAGAGATAAAGAAAACGAGAAAAAGTTTTCGAACTTCCACATTAGAGGGGAAAATAAAGGAGCTTAGCTGCACAGAGCCTTAAAACCAACATTCTTCACTTACCACTCTAAAAAATGAACCTTAAAATACAAACATTTCCTTTTGTTTTTCCATTCACTTTCTCAGCAACCAACCAACCAAAGAAAACAGAACTTCAGTTACTTTCTTTTAATTCCTTCTCTTTTTAACGAATCTGTACCTCAGACAGCAAAATCTCTCCACATTCACCTTGTAAAAACTGTCCAAGAAAATCTAAAAAAGAAACAAAAAAACAAATACTTAAAAAGGAGAAAAATGTTAGCAATACAGCAACAAAGCACCATTAATTGACCTTTTAACTAATAATGAGCTAAAAACAGAAACAAAGAAAACGTAGAGAAAGGAAATTGTAAGGAGAATTTGGTACTAACATTGATTAAAACTTGAAATGAGACCTCGATTAGCGTTAATAGAGAGATTTAGAGGCCAATAAAACAAAAGAAAACGAAAAAAAAAGATGGAAACTTTAGATAGAGAAATGGAGGAGAAGAGAAGGGATTGAAAGGGAAAAGAGAAACTAACAATGGGAAGCTAAAACACTCTCTATCGCTCCCTCTAAGTATGTGTTTGTATGTGAAGCCTTTTTGTTGAGAGAGAGAGAGAAGGGAGTGAGTGAAAGTGAAAGCAGTATTTGAGAGTTTTCTGTTTATTTTTGTTATTATTTTCATTTATTTTTAGGTCCGGACGGGGAAGCGACGTGTCGATTGGATGAATCAAATAAAACGACATCATTTCAGTTTCCACACCTTACTGTTAAAGTCATTTGAAATGCGCACCATAAAACTTACAAATCAATGAAACATGAATAGTAACATGTGACATATTTATAATATGCCAAAAATAAATATAAGCCCACAAAATATATCTTGGTGCACCGAACATCCCATGTTAATAGTTTTTAAAAATGATTAATATATTTAGTTTTTTTCCTATTATGATTTTAAAGTCGGATAACTATATGTTAATCATAGTAAAAAAAGAAATAAAATTTATTCACTCCCGCAGTTTTGTACTACAGGTTCTTGGCAGTTATGATAGAGAGATTGAGTCATAAAAATGGCAAATAGTAGAAGAGAATACTTTTCTTATTTTAAAATCATGAAGTAAGTCCATTGGGATCAACTCTTCATAAAGAAGATAAGAGTGATTTAATGAAAGAAAAGAAACAAGAAAATTTATGTAAATTAACTATTTCAAATGAGAAGATAAAACTTAAAAGACAATGGTGTTGTCAATGAAAAGAAAAGTGACAAGAAAATGAGCATGTAAGAGGAAAAACTGAGGCAGCCGCATTAGGGTAGACAGAGAGGAAGAGAGTGTCTGTATCTGCACAATCTTTGCCTTGCCGTGCAGCTTCACACTGATCCCTACAATTTGTTCACCTCACATTTATCCAAAAAGGTTTGGTCCCCCAACTCCTATATTAAATACCCATCAAGAAGATAAGGTTAAATTTAATAAAATCGACAGGAAAACTGGTCTTTCTCTCTTGAAAACATCAAAACTGTGATTGCTTAACTGACAAATTGCTCTAGGTCTAACCACCCAATACCCAATTTATCTTTCACAAGAAAGTATGCAACTTTCACTTCAACTGTTTTGATTTAGCTAATAAGTGATTTTTACTACAGAGTTTCGTTAGTGGGTATCTTTATTTATTCATTTTTGAATATAAAAAGTTGTAATCTACGGTGAATTACATATTGCGCATTTTCGCATATCAGAAACGTTTACATTTATCCGTTTTTCATATAATATATCTTTTTTTCACGTAAAATTATATTTTAAATATTGTTTCTATGTTTTTTGTTTCCGTTTCCGTGCAACATATGTTGTAACTAATGATGTTGTCTGAAATAAGTCCTGCTTCAACCTAATCTGATAGGAAAATACAGTTTTATTCACTTCTTGTTGCTATGTAAAATCTTTCTTTAGCATGCAATTGCCTTTGAGGTTGTTTTGCTTTTGGATGTTCATAAAGAAATAAGACAAAGGATTATTTAATTACTACATTCCAAATTCTTGAATTTTTGTGGGGTGAAAAACAACTTGATGTTTTTGGCAACTAGTGGTTGCTTTTTAGCTATATTATTACAGACAGTTGAAGGTGGATGACCAAAACCAGCTGGCTCCTTGACGAAAGTAGTTATGAGTTGAAAATTTTGAGGATGAAAAATCAAGAGTCTTCTTGATTAGGTAACTGTTAAGGCAGCTTGTCAACTTTTCACTTTCTTACAATTCTACTACACATGTTCTGGTTTTGAAGTTGCTTGGAGACAACTCAGGATCAATTTACAGGTGACCATGAACAAAGTATAGGTTTTCTGTTAGTTTAGCTCTGTAATGGTGGAAAATTCAGCTTTTCACATTATCTTCTTTATTTTCTTTGGCATATTTGATCCATGTGAAACCTGTCAGTTGGTGAATCTGTTATGAAGAGAGATTTTCTTTTTCTTTTTCTTTTTATCTTATAAGATTCTAATATGGTTTGAATTTGCTCCAGAACGTTAGCCATGTTCAGCAACAACTTAATTATTAGTTAGCTTTTAGCATTTTGAGTAAATCAAAACACTATCTTTATAATTGTAAGTTTAGCGCTTTACATGGATTAACTAATCTTTCTTTATAATCATACCACTTTTTTTTTTTTCCACTGAATTTAACTAATTAAATAACTAATATTCTTCTTTTTCATTTTAAATTCAAACTTTATTATTACTCGATGTTTGTTTCCAATTTAATCTGCCATACAAACACCTACCAGAAGCTAATAACTAACTATCAACCACTAATAAAACAACTGCAATACCTAATTACTACTAAAATATCTAATATTGTCGAACAGATCCGTTTATAAATTTAATACTACCGAATCAAAACTCACTAATTTATGGATTTTTCCAATTCAAAGTTAAAATGAAGATTATAAATTATATTCCATGTATATATTTACAACAATCTTTTAACTTACCTCTGTAATACATAAAACTTGATAAAAATTATGTAATTCCATTGAAATTTGCAATTATTACAATCTTAAATTGTTCCCATAATAAAATTATTCTTGCAAATCTCACAAGAATACTTAAAACATTAAATCTTATTAATATTTTTTGCAATTTGCTCAACCTTTTACCTTTTAGCCATTTAGGACCCACCAAAATGAGCATATATTATCAGAAAAATGTCAAAAAAAAAAAAAAAAAAAACATTACTTACTCGATGTTTGTTTCAATTTAATCTTGCCATACAACACCTACCTAGAGCTAATAACTAACTGATCCAGAACCACTAATTAAAGAGTAGTCGTCTAATGTACCTACATTTACTACTAACAAATCAATATTGTCGAAATCAGATCCGTTTATTAAATTTCACTAATCACTTATCCGAATCAATAACTCAGCTAACTTTATGGATTTTTTCCAATTCAAGTGTCTAAAATGCATAATTCACTTATTCCATGTATATATTTACAACCAATCTTTAACCTTACCTCTGTCAAACATTAAAAACTGATAAAAATTATGTAATTCCCATTAAAATAAGACATTTACAATCTTAATGTTACCCATAATAAATATATTCCTTGCAACTTCACAAGATAACTTAAATCTAAATACTTATTAATATTTTTATTGCAATTTGCTACACCTTTTACCTTTACACATTTAGGAACCCACCAAATGAGCATAATTCAGAAAAATGTCAACAAGAAAAAAAAAAAAAAAGTCTAATCAGACACTACTCAACACCTAAATCAATGAATGAAAGAGTGTAGGATCTTTAGCTCCTGAGCATAAAAAAAAAAAAAAAAAAAAAGTCCTAATCAGCTATTCCTCTCTTAGTATTTAAATTCAATGAATAAAGAGTGTAGATCTTTAGCTCTGAGCATATAAAAGCTCAATCCAACTAGGAGCCAAGTGGATACTGCCTGTGTCATGGGGCCCAAGAAGCCCTTGTTTGCAAGCAAGGAATTGATCTTTCTTTTCCATACACGTGTCATGAAGAGAGAGAGAGAGAGAGAGAGAGAGAGAGAGAGGGGTTTTATTGGAATAGAAAAAAGGTAGTCAAAAATTGAGGAAAGAATGATAATTGGGTATCTAATAAAAATTAGAAGTTAATCTAAAGAGTAATAATGGAAGTGAGTCAACTTAATTAAAGCAAAGATTAAGTTTTTATTCACTAATTCAATATTAAATATGATGATTCTGTGTAATTGGATGTACCCTTCTTTAGCAAACATAAATCTGTTACATATCAAAAACTTTACATTATTCAGATTTTAAGAGGTGTTGAAATTATTATTTTAAAGGAAGAGAATCAAATTCTAATAGAGAAGCTTGTCTCTTTATGCCTTTTCTCATAAGATGGCCAAATATTCATTTCACTCTTATAATTTTTTTTTTTTTAAAAAAAAAAAGTTACAAGAAGGGAAAATCGAAAAATAATAGTTGCTTATTTTATTTATTTAAACATAAAATGTATAAACGTTTTGCAAGGGTTTCTTGATTTTGAAAGTTGGCATGATTTGGGATTTTAAAATAGCCATTCAATAAGTTGAAGTTGATTTCTTAGGGTTAGAAGAAGTTATACCAAAACGGTGAGTTTTGCCTCATTGGATTAAGCTAATCCAAGGTAAGCAATGTGTTCTACCATAATATCATTTTAGTTCAATTTGTAGTCCCGGTTCAAATTTACGGTGTTAATGTATCTAAATTCAAAATGAAAGTACCCACAATACAAATGTCATTTTGAGTTAGATTTTGTAACAAATCGCATAGTTGAAAATGTTTTTGTAGTTTAAGCATTATGAATTTATTTTTTTACTAATTTCCATTCTATTTGCAAGAAAATCCCTTTTGTGATAGAAGTCCAAGAATAGAAACCTAATAAAATTGTAAAATATTAAGGTTGAAAGTTTACAGGAACACTAAGGTTGAAATCTCAGTCCTAACTGATGCCAACTAAATTTTGGTTACTGAAACATCTAAAATACAAACACTTGATTAATGAGCAACCAGCCCAACTGAACAACCCAACAAGTTTGCATATCCAATCTACACATACAGCTATTGGTATTTCTGTAAAACGAGGATTACCCCTGCATTTCAATGGCAAGTTTGCCAAATTCCAGAGTCAAATGCAGATGTTAAATCTCAATACTTAGAAGTACCCAAATCTAACATTAACTAACTAATTAGGGATTGTGAATGTCACATTCAATGTTTTCCCATCATCATCCTGTTCCTGTACAATAAACTAATCTCAGCATGTTTAATTATAATTCCATAAAAATTTACTCCGCACATAACATTCATCTGTTATGTCAAGAAACTGCTCAAGATAGCTACATAAAAAAATATTGTTAAGGCTACTACAGGTATAACTCAGAGAACAAAACATACGCAACTTATTTCCAACATTAAATAACATTTATCAAAAAAAAAAAAAAAAAAAAAACTTCCAGAGAACATAAAACATACGCAACCCTTTTTCCAACATTAAAATAAAACATTTCTTCCATCAATAAAAAAATTCGAACAAATAAAAATATCCACAATAAAATTGGGAAAGCACCAAAAAAACATATTGGTGATAATCTGATAATTCAACTTCAAAAAGCACGGCTGTCACATCAGCCAAGCGTGGCATTTAGCCCACGCCTCAATTATCTAAATTCACAGTTTCTAGATTGTATAAAATATCCCATCTCGATAAGTACAAATTTGGTTTGCGAGCAACTCCCCGGACCCGACAACGTATGAATTATTTAAAGAAAAATTGACCCACGGCTGCTCTTTAGCTCTTGGGGGGGCATGCACCGCCGAGCTTACGTTTATCCTCAAAGAAGGGGGGCTCGAAGATTTTCGATCTAACATTCTAAAGCTAAATAAAGCAACAAACTCAAAGAGAAAGCTCGCTTTATCAGCACCCACCAGATCCATAAAAAAAAAAAAAAAAATATCACAATAAATTGGAAAAATATGTGAAATCTGATGAATTCAACTTCAAAAAGCAGGAGTGGCATTAGCCACGCCTCATATAAATCAAGTTTCTGATGTAAAAAATCCCATCCGAAAGTAAAATTGGGTTTGGGGAGCAACTCCCCCCTACAAATGAATTATTTAAAGAAAAATTGGCTCGAGCTAAATTCTCAAAAGTCGAAGATTTTCATCAACATCTAAAGCTAAATAAAGCAACAAACTCAAAGAGAAAGCTGCTTAAGCACCACCAGATCCATACTTCTTGCCGAAGACAATCAGCTGCAACTTGTCATAACCAGCAAGCACACCAGCACCAGCAATAGCACGGAGAATGTTTGCTCCTGCACCCTTGAAGAGAGACTTGGCACCCTCATTCTTCAAGATCTGAGAGAAGGCATCAAGAGAACTCTTGTACTTGACAGCTTCACCAGAGGTCATCATCATTCTTCTACGGACAGTATCAATGGGGTAGGATGCAAGACCAGCACCGTTGGTGATGAGCCAACCAAGTGCGAAGCTAGCAAAGAAACTATCCTGTAATCATCAAAGACAATAAAATGTGTTACAAAACTAAAAGCATAATCCATTTAACAAGTTGCATGATCTAAAAGCAACTGATACAGCACTCCTGCTCACCTCAAGAATTATGACAGATAGTAAATGGGGAAACATAAAATCAATGAATTTAAGAACACACTCAATAATATGCTGAACTATATTGATCAACAAAAATATTGATAAATATACTGATTCATAAAATAAAGAACTTTTTTATCCCAATAAAAAATGAAAATTTTAAAATATAACTTCTTAGATATGGTCTAAACAAATCTTTCAAACTCAAGCAATGAAAATAATTACAAACACAAAATAAAGGAAGTGCATAGCTAACCTGCATCTTTCCAGTCAGAACCACAGGCTTCAAAGAATCGTACATTCCAAAGTACAGACCACGGTAGACAATAATTCCCACACAAGAAATGTTAAACCCACGGTAAAGCCCAGCAATACCATCAGATGCCAATGTCTTCCTGTAGACATCAATGAGACCATTGAATTGTCTCTCGCCTCCCTTCTTGGCAGCCTTGGCATCATTAGCAAGACGGGTTCGAGCATAGTCCAGGGAGTAGACAAAGAGGAGGGAAGAAGCACCAGCAGCACCACCAGATGCTAAGTTTCCAGCAAACCACTTCCAGTACCCATCCCTGTCTTTCTTGAAGTTGAAGAGCCTCTTGAAGTAATCTTTGAATGCAAAGTTCAAGGCCTAACACAGATATACTATAGCAATGAATATAAAGTTCCCAAAAGAAAAACAAGCATGCTAACAGAAAATGGAATTCCAAAACAGGGAAGAGGATACACTAGCTCACCTGAGTAGGGAAGTAACGGATAACATTGGCAGTGTTACCCCTCCATAATGAACCAAATCCTTCTTCCTTAATTGTTCTCTTAAAGCAATCACCAATACCCTTGTATGGTTCTGAGAGTCTACCACTTTTAATCATCTCATCCTGATTTTGAATCAAGAGCTTAACACGCTCAATTGGAGCTGCAGCAGTTTTTGATACGGCAGCTGAGACTCCACCCATTAGGAAATCAATAGCAAAGCTGGAAAATCCTTTTTCAGAAGGGGCATGTAAGCAAACAGAAGATGCAGTTGATGGAATAATAGAAATGTCAGTAGAGGCAGTGTATGACTGTGCCAACGGATATTGGAATGCAGCATTCGAGTAGTTTCCATATGCACGCCTTTGGTAAAGAGCAGGCCTCTGGATGTCCTGAGAAATGCCGGAATGAAGATGCTGGCCAGCTACCTTCTGCATGAGAGACGGGTTTCGAGCCTGATCAACCATTGTGACTTCCCTGCAATGATGTAAGCACACAATGTCGAAAACTTATTAACTCAAATACCATAAACTAAGTTTGTGACCACATAAAAATAGGGAATGAAGAAGATGCATATACACAGTTATGAAATGTGCAGTCTGTGTAAATAAAATCAACAATTCTCTTTACACATTCGAGTGGAAAAACAAAAACCAACCAAGTAACACAAGCCGCAGACTATCCATAAAGTAACAAACGGATCACTAGACTTTCACAAACACAAAAACATCTCACTGGAATAATCAAATGGTTGAACACAATTAACCAAAAACCAATAACAGTTAACCAATAACTATCGAGATCAAAAAATAAATATCAAAATCAACAATCAAATCCCAGTAAGCAAATTAGTAAATATAGAAAACTGAGCTACTGAAATGTATTTGAGCTTCAACATCCAAAATTATTGGAATCAGATGCATCAACTGTCAAAAATAAGGAAAATCTCTTGTATTAAATCCAAAAGATATATTTTTTATATAAAAAAACAGACAGATCAAGTGAAAAAAGAGGAATCGATCCCTTTTGATCTTAGAATCCAGATAGCATACGCTAATTCTCAACCAAAAAAAAAAGCATTTCCAAAAAATTGAACATTTCTCAACAGATCTAATAACAAAAACATTCAAATGAAAAAAGGAAAGGACTTTATTGAAAACAGATTTAGATCATTTGCAAAAACAAATTAATTGGAAACAATAGATCCATCCAACAATAGCTAAAATGGTCGAATCATGCTTAAGAAGTGCATAGACACCATCAAAATAAATAGATCTAACAAATAACAACCAAAGGAGAGTGACAGACAGATCCGACTGCTATAAAAACAGTAAATCTGGTCTATTTCTACAGATCTAAGAGATCAAAGAGATCAAAAGCAAATGCTCGATCAAATCAAATGCCTTCAACTAACTAAACTAAACAAAATCAAACTCCAAGAAAGCTGGAATTGGAAAGATCAAAAGAAATACAACATGGATTTAATCGATGAAACAGATCTGATTGATGTTTTACCTGACAAGTGGCGGCGATTAGGAATCTAATCTCTCCGCCTTCCGCTGAGGAGTTGAAAGAAGAGGACGGCGAAAGGAAGGAGAGGGAGCTACAGAAATTTTCTGTGGAGGAGGCTGTGCTTTGAAAAGAGCGAAAATGAGAGGGGCTTTTATTGGCTCTACGTGGTGTAGTTTTTGGGTTTGAGTATGATTTCGCTGACCCTAGCATGTGTGTCGAGTTTTTTTCCTGTGCTGTTTATTGACTTGCAGGATTACCTGTAGCCGCGGCTCTTGCCGTAGATTTTATCTAAACGGCATCGTTTAAATAAATTATAAAAGACTAATATAATGTTAAATTTATAACGATTTTTTTTTTGAAATTTTAGTAAAATTTTTTATAATCAATATTTCTTTTAGTTTTGATTGTCATACTGAATAAATATTTTTGTAATATTAGTGAATTTCTCATTGAATAATCATTCTAATTTCATTTTCTTTATTAAGTTTAAAAATATATATTTTTAGGAATGAAATGATAATCATATATATTTAATAATTAAATTAATTTAAATAAATTATATGTTAAGCATTGTATCGAAGAATGCATGTCAACTGGGTGTGGTTAATTTTTTCGTATCAAAGAGAACGAGAGATATTAAATTCGATTTCTCTAAAAATTTTTATTAATTTAATAAATCAAGAAAAAAATTATTTATTATATAATTTATTATATTATTTTGGCATAAAATAAAATACGGAAGAGTGCATAGTAAGGAAATAATGGGAATATATATTGAATGGTGTGCATTAGAAGGACTTTTTATTGGTTGGCTAAAGTGGCAGGCCGGTGAGGCGTGATTTGTTAGGTTTTTGAGTGCGTTGGCTGCAGCTGAATGGTCAAATTTTGATTGCCTCCTTTCGTCTTTGTCTTCTCCTTCCATCCTTTTTATTTTCATATTACTTTTTATATTTTGAAATTTGGTTGACTTTATAGAAAAAATTCGTCCGACTGCTACAAGTTCTTGCCGTTTGTGAATTTATATATTTATTTTTTGAAATTAAGAAAAAATTGAAAAAATTATCTATTATTCAATATTAAAAAGATTTTTAAAGCTAAAAAGTAAACAAAATGTATAATTTATAAGCATCATTACTTTCACTGTTTAAAGAAAAGGCCTAACTAATCTGTCATTAACAAGAGAAAATGACATTTTAACAGTGAAATCATTCCTTTATTTAAAATTATTTATATTTTATTATTATGAAATTACAGTCAAAGTCTAATTGCAGACCAAATTGAAGTTGAGGAAGCTTCGTTTGCACAGAAAAGTCCCCCATTGGTAGTTTTCTATCACTTCCTTCAAACTTGAAAGTTGTCTTTCACCTTTACCAACTCTTCTTGGTTCAGGCCTGGCCCAAAGCCAGCAACATGGTTCACCATTTCATATGGGTCCAACCCGCTATTTATGGGCTTGGGCCTAAGGAAAAAGCTCGTGCCTGGCTTTGATTTAGGTCGTGTCTGTCGATGTTCAAATTCAAAGAATGAAGATGCTCGTGAAAGATCAATGTCCATGTCCAGACAGACAGCCACTGCATCACATTTTGAGAATAGTTATATTTGCGCAAGAGCTCGAGTATTTGATCCTAGTAAATGGCAAAAATTTCAGCTGGAGATTCCCTTTTATGGGTATCCGGCGAAGCAAGATTACGCTTAATCCAATGAACTGAGAACACATATAGCAAAGCTAGAGACAGAGAGCTACTACATCACATTTTGAGAATAATTATATAATTGAGAATCATGGTTTAGCTATAAACTGAAGTGTAATGGAAATTAAAAGAGGACTGCATAACATTTATATTTTTATTTGTCTTATGGAGCTGAGGATTGACTGATTTATCTGCATGTTTATTGAATTTCTTGCAGTGAACAAGTGAAAATGAAGAGAATTTGTTGAAGGAAAACTTAAAAAATAACAAAAAATATTTCTGACATATATTCAGAATAATGCCATGGAAGTGATAGTTTGCTTGCAGCTTCAGAAAAGATTTCTAACAGTAGCAGAAGGAATTATTACTGCAGGCTTCGAACTGACTCTCTGGGTAATTTATTATAGTAAATTTTGAACCATAGAGCTGCATGCATGGACCAGTGTTTAGGATAAGCATTTCTTTTCACAGAAAGAAAAGGTAGCCGCAGGCTGAGATTTCAGGGTTCCATTTCTCTAAAATTGGAATAAAATATTAATCAGAAGTAAGGAAAATTAGTTGCAACTTTGTTCAAATTGTGAAATTAAAGCATCTAATTGCTTAGTTAGTAGCATTTTTTTTTCTAGCCACCAGGTGTCTATGTATGTGTCTGTTTAACAATCCGGGTAATTCGATTGTTCTCCATTTGCTTTCAGAGGACCAGGAGCTGGCCCGTGAGGATTTTGGCTTAGAAGAGTTCGAATTCATGACCTCGTAGATTCCTCAATCCCTTTAAGTATTGTTTGCTAATGAGATGTAACTTTTCAAAAAATTTATTATAATCAATAATATGCTAGTTGGGTGTTAAGTAATCTCTATTTTTATAAAAGGAAAAATACAACTTCGATCTCCGGAGATGAAAACCAACTTTAATAAAAGGATAAAAATCTTTACGCCCTCCGATCAGTAAAGTGCAATAACTCCAACCCCAGATACAGACAGGATAACCGATCACTTTCACCATTAAGCAAATGGAGGAAAAGAGATAAAATGACAGCAAAAGAGTGAGGTCATAAAAGTATGTGAACAGTGAGTTCTAATGATGGTATTAATGGGTTATCCTTTCTCTCTTGTAAACATCCCATGCAGGAAGGATCAAACTGTCACTCTCTCATCTATTTCTCAAATAATAACAATTGTTTTTATATATAAAAAAAGCTTTCTCAAATACCTATGCTTCCTTAAAAAAAATAATATTTCTAAATACACTATGTGAAGAACACTTCGAAAATACTAAAACAATACACCTTTAAAAAAATTTTCTTACTACCCGACTCTGTTGTCATCTCTAATAAGTAAATTAAAAAGCTATAGTGCATAACGATGTTCTTTGTAACCATGCAACTAAAGCAATGAAGATCCTTCAACTTGACTTCTGTTGATAAAATTTCTTTATTTTGTAAGGTAATTAATTAAAAAAAAGAAAATGCACACATGGTCATTTAATTTGGTCTTTATTGGAGTTGTAATTATGTTTGAAAATCTGAAAACAATCTTGGATATGGAGACTCAAAAATCAAGAGCCCTCATTTCCAATTTCCATACACACACTCGTGCAATCTTGGAAACTGAGTTGGACCCTAGTCAAACAAAACAACATTTGAAGCTGAAATTCTTATTAAAAGTACTAATTATAATCACCATTTCGTGAGTTTCTTCAAAGAAAAAAAAAAAAAAATATATAAACTCTCTCACCATTGTTGAGTTTCTTCAAAGAAGAATAAAAAAAAAAAAGCTTTACTGTGCTGTTCTCTTGGTTCATTAGCCTCTATATTATTATATATATATATATATATATAATATAATCCAACTATAGAATATATATAATCCAACTATAGAATATCATGTAGGTTAGAACAATTCACATATGAATCTCTTCATTTAATTTAATTACTCCATTATCTGAATTTTCTACATTTTGAGAACATGAATGATATGGGAAATGCAATTTGCTAATTTTGACAGTTTGTTTACTGTTAACTAGGAATTTCTTTCTTTCTTTTTTTTTTTTAAGTCCTAGGTTTGAAATGAAGTGTACGTTAATTTAGTTTCCCATGCATATGGGTCAAAATAGGCTCCTACGAGAGAAGTCTTCATTAAAAATTTGTAATAATCAAATTTTAAACATGGTTCCCATTTTCGAGAACTTACGCGCAATTGCCTGTTATAATATTTTAACCCTAGCTACTAAAACTTTTATTTCAGTGTCATCATTTAGGTAGCATTTAGTTGGTTCAATTTAAAAAAAAAATTCATAAAATCAAAATAGTTGATTTTTTAGAAAAAGAAAACTAAATCAAATTGCATTCTATAAAAAAAAAAAAAAAAACAAAAGCATTAAATTTAAATAACTGAATTAATCAAAATTTTAATATATTGTAATCCACTTCGATTCAATTATTTTGATTTTTTACTAATAAGTCCAAATATATATGCAATCTTCAATAATTTTTCACAAACATTATTTGCATCGAAGAGTAAAAGAATTTTAGTTTTCCCTGTATCACTGCCAAAAGCTTCTTTCTACAGACTTCTTTCTATTTGTCTTTCATTAATGGAAATTTCATGCCAGTACTTTTGTTCCTTGTGTTCAAATTTTGTTCATATTGACAGCACAAAAACCCTAATTTTATTTTTGAAAAAAGGGAATTTTTTTTCTGGTTAATATGAAGTCCAAGTGTAAAAATTATGTCAATACCGGAAAGTTCTATTAGTACTTTCGAAAAATTGAATTCATAGAGAGAAAAATGACAAATGAAATTGTCATTTTCTATTAGAAAGATGGTTACAGTTAATTAGAATTATTGATAAGTATTTTTTTTTTTTTTTTTTTTTTTTTTTTTGTAGCTCCAAACGAAAAATTGAAAAATAATAAACGTCTCCCCTTTTTTTTTTTTTTTTTTGTAGCTCCAACGAAAAAATTGAAAATAATTAAACGTCTCCTATATATAATTTGGTTATGTAATTAATGATGTGGCTAAACGAGTTTATAATTTGAGAATTTTAAATTTAAGAGCTAGGGTTTTAAATTTTAGGATTTAAGATTTAGAATTTTGGAATCAATTTCAAGATTTAGATTATTAGAATCGAAAGCTTAATGTAATTTTATTATTAAATTTGATTTCATCTCATCCATCGGGATCTTGCTGTAACACATACATGAAACAATGATATGACACATTCTTTATTAAAACTATGATAATCTTGATAAAGTATATTAATTCATAAATTTCATGCACGTATATGAAGGACTAGCTTTTATATATAATAAAATTATCTTTAATAATTTGAAAACATAAAAAAATAAACAAATACTCCATAATTAAATTATTATTATGTATGCTTATATTTTATGGAAGGTGCTCATCTCATAATTCAGAATATCAAACATTTGAGAATTGCTTAAATGAGTTTGTTAACCAAAGTCATATATAAAGAAATCAAGTATTTAGTTTTAGTTATAAAAAATTTAATCGTAACCGATAAATATATTAGGTTTAGGTTGAGGTTGAGATAGAAAGCAATCTCATCTCCAATAATAATAAAAATATAAATTTGAATCCCAAAAGTTTAGAAGGACAAAAAAAATTTTTCTGTTCTGTGAACCCTGAGGAATTAGAAGTACTGATTATACCAAAACAAGGTGAAGTGCCTGTGCATGCACATATTATAAACATAAACACAAATCACACCCACCAAAGCAAATGCTGAATTGGGTTACTTGTTTGCTTGAAGCAAGGAACTGATAACAGCTAAAATATAACAGAATGTCTCCTTTCTCTTTCTCTCTCTCTCTCTCTTTCTTTCTTTCTTTCTTATTCTTTGTGTGTGTATATACTGTTCAGTGCAGTACTTTCTTGAGAGACAAACCTATAAGTTGAATCTCTGACTTTGTGTCTTTGGCTTTTTCTCTCTTTCTTTATTGCTTTCTTCTCCTATTTCGCTTTCAGGAGGTAATTTCTTAAACTTTATTACAGTCGATAAGACTCTTTACTTTCACTATTTATAACAGTAGATAAGACTCTTTTATAACTTTAACTGTTTAAGCATATTAACAGTCACATGCATGTTTCCATACTTAACCTAATAGCAAGTACTATATTAATTTAGGGTTTTTGCATCCTCGTAAGGTGCAGCCCAACTATATGTTTAATGAAACTAACTCAATTTCAACCGCGCCGGTTAAGTATGTTAATTTAATTAACTATTTTTCACCCATTACGAAAACCGATTAATTTAAACAAATTCGAGCCATATTTATTATAAATTAAAATGAGAAAAAAAAGATCAAATAGACTTAAATAATCTTCGCGATAAATAATATTTAGGTTTTTTTCATGGTTTTTAAACAATGTATAAGTTCTTTCATAATCTTTCTTGTATTAGTGTTGGTTGAAGTGGTAAACGACTTAAACTCCCGTATAGGCCATAATACAAGTTTGATTATCAGGAAGCGTACTTTGCTGGGAAGGGTAAAAACTTTTATACTGTACGGTGGTGTATGTTTCATGTGGAACAAATATTAAAATTAGAGTTATATTTTCCTTTTTATAAATAAATTAAAAAGGGAAAAAAAAAATAGAGACTCTTATCTTTAGCGTTCTTTGTACTTATTTATATGGAGCATCACTTTATTAGCCAAAGTAAAAAAAACAACAATTAAACCTGCCTCTTCTTTCTTCTCTAGCTAGCATATCATTCGCCATGGCAGACCCTTGCCCTAATTTCTTCACTACTGGATGCTTCAACTTTATACCTCTTCACTATCACTATAGTCTTGTAAATTCGTACTCAACTTCCTCTCCTTATTATAATCTCCATCTCTACTCAAACAACAACAAATCTTCCATTCAATATCCTCCTCAAAAGCAAGCTCCTCCATTAATAGAATACTTAAGTCCTCCAAAACAAGAAGAAGAGCACCGTTCGTTCTCTAGTAAGTCCAAGGAAGAGGAAAGGAAAATGGAGGAAAATGGTGATAATAATGAAACTGTGGCTGTAGCTCTACATATAGGTCTTCCTAGCCCTAATTCTGATCTCGGTTCTAGGGTTTCCCCTTCATTAACAGATAAAGGAGAAGAAAGTACTACAGTTTCAGTGCACTCTTTGAAGAAACTAAACAAGGGTCAGTATTGGATTCCAACACCTTCTCAGATTCTTGTTGGTCCTACTCAATTTTCGTGTCCTGTTTGTCCTAAGACATTTAACAGATACAACAACTTACAGGTAATATTATATACATGGCCCATTTCAAGAAATTGACATGTTCCAATCTTTTTTTCTCTTAATTTTCTTGTTCTGTTCGTTTCTTTTGTGCTTTCTTTGTTTTTCTTTTTCTTAAGCTGGATCTTGGGTACTTTCTATTCCTTTCCAACTATGTATATAAACATATATATTATAGATTAGCCAAGTACAGTTCATTCCGAGTGCCCTAAATAATTTACATTTTCATCTCCAGTGGCCTTAAAGTTCATCATTTAAAGATTGTTTGTTTAACTTAATTTGTCTAAATCTGAAGATTATTCTAAGCTTAGATTTGGATTAAAGTATATGCCTGCAAAAAAATACAGTGCTTCAGGTTTTTATTCTGACTGTGTAAAATAACTGTTGAACAGTAAAAGATACTGCATTTTTCCTCCTCTCATGTCTGCAAAAATTACACTATTCTTCAGATTGCTTTTACCAAAAACCTCAGCCCTTAATTAATCATTTGGAAATGTAAGCTTTCTTTTTAGTTTTTAATCAACTTTTATTAGGAATTTGAGCTTGTAATCTCACGGTTTTACAAACTATTCGATCTGTTATGAACTTATAAGTTATAACCATAACCTATAAAACCCAGTTTTGCTAATTAAGTTTGTTAGTGATAATGTTTCACCTCCCTCTAAAATCTGTATGAAATGTTCTTGAGACTTGTGTGGAAATGTTAATTACTCAATTGTTAATTAGCATCTAATTGATTTTAATAGACTCCAAGAGTTCATTAGTCATTTTTTTGCTTAATAAATTTCACATACTTCAATGACATCTTGATTTGAATTTCTAGAGATCAGATAAGTTTTCCATTCTAACTTTGAAGACTATCATCAAGAGACATTAGTAGCAAGTTCTTTACCTTTGTTCCTCTCTCTCTCTCTCTCTCTCACACACACACACACACGCACACACACACTCACACACACACTCACACACACACACACACACACACACACACACCACACACTCACACACACACTCACACACACACACACACACACACCCACACTTCACACACACACACACACACACACACTTCCCACCAAAATGAAGGCTCTGCACAATTAAAATCTTATGTGTACACATACAAAATTGATTAGTTTTGGGGTGGCAAATTTTAAGTGTCGACTTCATTTTATGATGTCAAGAACTTATTTAATATTTATAAACGTTATTCACAATGTGAAATGCTACTGTTTTTTTCTCCTTATCTAATTTCCTGGCTTTAATTATTTCAGATGCATATGTGGGGACATGGATCTCAATATAGAAAAGGACCAGACTCATTAAGAGGAACCCAACCAACAGGAATGCTAAGACTCCCATGTTATTGCTGTGCACAAGGTTGTAAGCACAATATTGATCACCCAAAAGCAAGACCATTAAAAGACTTCAGAACTCTCCAAACCCATTACAAGAGAAAACATGGAATCAAACCCTTTATGTGTAGAAAATGTGGCAAGCCATTCGCTGTTAAAGGTGATTGGAGAACCCATGAAAAGAATTGTGGCAGATTTTGGTTTTGCATTTGTGGGTCTGATTTTAAGCACAAGAGGTCTCTTAAAGATCATATTAAGGCCTTTGGACATGGCCATGCAGCTCTTGGCATTAATTCCTTGGAAGAAGATGATGAATTTGCTTCTGAAATTGAACATGAAGAGGACTCATCATTCTAATATAAATTTGTTTTTAGGTGAATTATATCTAATATTAGCATTACCGGTCAGTATTTGATACAAATGGTTTAGTACTCTTATCTCTTAAGTTCCATCACAGAGGATAAGGTCGAAACGGATATCATTTATATATATGATACAGGTCACAGGTCACGCTGAATTTAGTAGAGTCCTCGTTTTTCTTATTTGTATTTATTATCTTCCTTTTTTCTAGGCTAATGTTATTTCCCATGTGCTCATACGAGACAAAGAGATAATGTAAATAAACCTAGTATCTAATAAAGTGGTTCATCAATAAGCTTTTCAAGTGCATTTTTAATGTTGGTAGTTCAGTTTCCTACTTAAACTTTGCTAGGGTTGGTGGCACCATTGAAGCTGCAATGAATTTTCTTCCTCCATAATATAGTTTCCGGGGTTGAAACTACTCACGTATTTTTGGTACCATTCAAAATTTAAATTTTATCTTCTAATTTTTATTTATATATTTTTAAAAAATATATATCCGCATCTCCAAAAATTAAAATCCATTTTATCTCCTTAATATTTAAAGTCTAGTTCATTTATCATCAAAATAGAAGTATTTATTAATTTATAATTTTTTTTATCAAGACTCAATAGGGTGAAATAGCCTGCTAGTCTTTCATTTTATGTAAAAGGTAAATTATAAATTCCACGTGAATTTAAAATTATTGTTTTCATGTCATATTCAAAACAATTTATATTTCAAAATAAAATAATTATTTAAAATAACTTATATTTTATATTTTAGGGCAGAGGGATATATTTGCTCAACAAGTAAAAACTGAGGTAGCTACCTAACCCAATTTATATGTATAAGTCCAAGCCACTATAGCAAAAGCCCTTTAGCCCAACCCAAAATCAAAACGGAGAAGGTCATCATCTCCACTAGATTTAACAGGCATTGCTTTTTGCGTACCCTCTTCCTGCGTTCTCTATCTTACTCTATCATTCCCATAAAGGACGACACAGTTCAATCCATGGCTTTGACACACTCTCTTTTTCAAAACCTTTATTATAAACCATCAAATGTATTGATAATAAGGTCATCTTCAGAACTTGATGAGACAAAAAAACCAAGTATTATATCTCAAATTCAAACCAAGAAACGTTGCTTGAGGTGTAATACCCTTTACCTTGACAAAGATAACTCTCCAATTGCTTGCTCTTTCCATGGCCATATTACAGGTATTGCTTCTAACTTTTTCTCAGTCAATCATTAATGGGTTCTTAATTTTCTGAAAAATATTACTGTTCTTTAATCTGTTTCTGCTTGCCAAAACTCAATAGTTCGATTTGTTAATGGGTTATTGATTTTCTTCTCTCTCT